GCCAACTACTCATTGCACCACAGAGCAATCTTAATTCCTTGATCCCATGTCTTTTCCTTGTGATGTGTTCTGTGGCTCTGTGAAAAAGCTAAAGCCTAGCTGCGTGGGGTGGCACATGCCTTGTAATACAAGCACTCTGGGAGGCTGAGGTAGGAAGATTGCAAGTTCAAGTGTAATGTGGGTAACTTAGCAAGGCACTGTCTCAAAAAATTGTTTAAAAAGCACTAGGGTTGGGGCCAGGGATACAGCTCAGTGGCATAAGCACCGGCCTGGCAAGCACAAGGTCCTGAGTTCAATTCCCAGTACCAAAAAAAACCAAAAAAAAGTACTAGGCATATAGCCTAGTTTGAAGGCTTTGGGTCAGTCCCCAGTGCAAAAAAGAAAAAAGAAAAATAATAATAAATGCCAAAACCCATACCTATTCTATCTATTCTGCAGATTGTATTTCTACTTACGTACTACTAAATGAATGTGCTTTATGGATGAGCAATGTACTGAGGTTAATCCTCCAACAAATTGTGTGTTAGCTTTCTGTTACTATAGCAGATATCTGAAGTAATCAACTTATACAGAGAAAGGATTTGGGTTCATGAGTCCAGAGGTGTTAGTCCATGGTCCACTGGTCTGTTGCGTTGGGAGTGTGGGGATACATTGTACCGAGAGCTCATGGCAGAGAAAACTGCTCACTTCACAGCCAGGAAGTGAATAAAAGAGAGAGGAAGAGGCTCTGGTCCCACTGACACCTTGGAGGGCATACCCCAGTGACTAAACACCTCCCACTCCACTAAACTAACTCTCTCTGTCTCTGTCTCTCTCCCTCTCATTTTCTGTACTAAAGATTGAATCCAATGTCTTTGCACTAACTTATATCCCATGCCCTTTTGTAATTTTTCATTTTGAGACCAGGTTGCTCACACTGGGCTTGAACCTGTAATCCTCCAGCCTCAGCTTCCCAGAGTGTGATGATTACAGTTGTGTACCACCACATCTAGCTGCCCCCTCCCCCTTAACAGGTTCATCATGTCCCAAAAGCACATCCTGGAAACCAAGGCTTTAACACACGATGGGCCTCTGAGGACAACTGAGGTCCAAACTATAGCAACTGCTTTCACAATTCAGGAGTCCCTCTTTAAATGTTTTTTTCTCTAATTTTAAGGACCTAGCAACTAATTAATTGTGAATCTACTATGTACCAGTTACTGCAGGAAGTTAGGAAAATAAAAAGACATAATCCCTGATCTTGAATAGCTCAGGGCCTGCCCGAAGACGACATATACCAGTAATGGAAGTAAAACATTAGAGAGACATATTGCATGATGGTAAGACAAATAAAGAGAATATATGTGCATAAACAATGTGAAAAGCACATTCTTTTACATCTTCTCTTCTTCTCCTTATTTATTCTGTTTTTTTGAGACACGGTCTTCCTATGCAGCCCAAACTGACCTCAAACTAATGGCCATCCTCCTGCCTCAGCCCACTGAGCCTGGGATTATAGGCATGCACTAGCATGCCCAGCAATACTTCTCTTTCCTTTTTTTCTCTTTTCTTTTTTTTTTCTTTTTCTTCCTTTCTTCCTCCCTCCCTCCTCTCTCTCTCTCTCTCTCTCTCTCTCTCTCTCTCTCTCTCTCTCTCTCTCTCTCTCGCGCGCGCGCGCGCGCGCTTTTCAATGCTGGGGAAGCACTGTACCCCTGAGCTAACCCATCCAGCCCCCATCATTCTTCTTTCAAGCTGGAAATTACACCATTTTCAAATGAAAATCATTTTGAAGAACATAATGGACATTATGAACACACCCAAAAGCTTAAACAATACAACCCTGAGACATATTCAGAGTCCCTCTATAAGCTTCCCCAGTCACATTCCTGCTTCCATATTGCCTTCCTGCATCAAGTGAGTATGGTGCTTATGCTTTCACACATCTCTGTGCTTTCACCGCATACACGCATACTGCTAAACAATACATAATACAACTGCTTGCGCTTTTACAGTTTACATCAAGTATATTGTTTTTCCACTGCAGACATGACATCGTAGCCCTGGGATGGCTCCTGTGACTGCCAGCGCCTACTGTTCATGTCTTCATCATCCCTTTCCCTTCAGAGTGGGACCTGTGACTTAACAGTAGAATATTGGATAGCAAAATGGACAGAAGAAGGCTCCAGTGATTTTGTTATGTTTGAGACCATTTTAGGAGATTCGAATGAGGGACTGTGATTGCCAGCTTGGTGAAATATGTGGCCAAGTTGTGAAATTCCAGTGGTGAGGAGCTTCCCTCAGCTGCTAGGACCCGAGGAAGCCTCAGGCTGCTCCCCACAAGAAGCTGGGCCCTTTGTCATCCAATGGCAAGGAAGTCCTATGGCTAGCTTCAAAAGCAGACTTCTCCCTAGCTGAGCCCTCAGGTGAAAGCACAGGCCTGCCAATACAAGAAGTGCTGCACAGAGAGTCTGGGCAGAGGACCTGCTTACACAGGGCAGGAATCCCACATGATAATAGATGTGTGTGTTGTTCCAAGTCACCACATCTGTGGACCAATTGTGGTACATCAGTTAGTGGAATTTACATTTGTAATTTATTTTTTCATTGATCATCTTAGTTTGGAGATTTATCCATGGTGACACTATAGATCTTGTCATTCATCTTTACTGCTATGTAATTTTCCATTGTTTGCTCATAATATAAGTGACATCCATTTTTCTATTGAACTTTTACAGTATTTATGTTTTTGTACAAGCAATACTGCTTTAAAGATTTCCATGTAGGTTTTCTTGTAGATACATGTGAAAAGTTCTCTAGAATGTGTATCTAGAAGAATTGCGGGGCCATAGGGTACGAAGATGTATTTTAAGGGACATAGCTACACTGCCTTGTAAAGTGAGTCTGGCAATTTGTGTATATTCTCCCAGGTGAGGAGAGTTGCTGGTCATGTGTGGCCTTGCAGTGATAATACTAGTACTGTCATATACATTTAAACGTATGTTGTGAAAACGTCAACTCTATCTAGGTAAAGAGAACAGTGTAACGAACCTTCACATAACCACTATCAGCACAAGGCCGATTCTGTTCTTTGCACACTTAACCACTCCCCCTCCTCCCACTGACTTATTTTATCGGTATATCCCAAATATCGTATCACTTCATCTGGAAACATTTCAGGATATAGCTGTACAAAAAAGAAATTCCTTTAACATATTTTTTGAGTTGCTTATAGATTCACACGTATAAGAATAGTAACAGAGAGACCCTATGCACCATTAATCTAGTTTCACCCAACAGTAACTTTGTGCAGAACTACAGTACAGTATCATAACAAGGATACTGACATTAAGTCTAGATACAGAGCATTTTCATTGTCAAGTTGCACTTTTATAGCCACATCCTCTTCTCTTTTACCTGTACCCCTTCCTTAAGCCCTGGCAACCACTAATCTCCATTTTTACTCTTTCAAGAATGTTATATAAATAAAATTATATCATATGTAACCATTTGGAGGATTAGCCTCCAACGTAACTCTCCAGAGATTTAAGCAGATTAAATGGTTTGTTCACTTTCATTACTGAGTAGTGCCCTATGGTATGGATATAATAACTTGTTTACTCTTCTCCCATTGCTGCACATCAGGATTACTTCCATTTTATTTCATAACAGTTTATTAAAATAAGCAATAAGCACACAAAGCAGTGCTACTCAGTAATTAGGCATATTTCTCACTTGCAGGAGGGCTCTACATTACACATTTTAGTACGAAGCTCGCTAGAGCCACCTCTTGGATGTGGCAACAAGTCACCATTACTCACAGGTCACCTGTGGGTGAAAATGTTAGATTAAATCAGACGGAAACACACATTTCTCGCTTTAAAGGAGCGTACAAGGCGCGGGTGTGCAGGTGCTGCGTGTGGCCAGCCTTTTATTCCTGCCATAGTGCTTATAACTTGGCTTTCCTGTAAGGTGAATGACTCGCCTCTAGGTCTCTAAATCAACTTTGCATAGGTCAAAGGGTGCAATGAGAACAATCACAACTGCTTTTCATGAAACAAGTTATGCACTTAATGCAGCTATAATCCTCTCATACCCCATCTTCCAAACGGGGGAAGGGGTTAGTAAAAGTGATTTGCCTGAAGATCTCTAGCAGATGGTGGTTGGTTTTTATAACCTAAACTTGGCTCCAACATCAATAGCTCTGAACCCCACTTTTCACCAGCATATAACAAAACTATTATGACAACTACTTCGCATGCGATATGCCTTCGATTAATAATTTATCCTTGTTCGCGAAGACTACGCTTCTTACTCTTCTGGGTTTTTTGTTTGAGGCAGGCCTCGAACTCACGGAAACGTTCCTGCCTCAGCCTCCCGAGTTCTTTTGGTTTAAAAACCTTCGTTTTGTAAGGGTTTTCTTTTTCTCCTAGTGAAAAAAAAGCTGAAGAAAGCGGTGAAACCTCCCGATAGCTTCGTGTGCGGTAGGGAAGCACTCTAGTCCTTCTAATTTATTGTTTATAATTTTGAGGCAGGGTCGCAGCTAAACTGCCCAGCGGGTCCAGCGCTTGCGATGGTCCCGACTCAGCCTTGGGAGCAGCTAGGATTACAGGCGTGGGCTACCGCCCAGGCCGTGTATCTAAAAGATTATCTGGTCCGGGAACTAAGAGCTGAGGCTCTGGAGCCGCAGCCGACAGGACTGACAGCGGCGAGGAGGCGCGGGTCTTCGGCTACAAAAGATGGAGCCTGAGTCCGAGCGCGGACTCCGCACTTAGGAAGGAGCGCAAAGAGCATAGTCGTGGCCCGCCGGCAGGCGCCGTCCGCACCATTCCGGAATAGAGGCCAGGATCCCTCCCGCCTCGGAGCCCTGCAGGCCGCCGCTCGCGCCTCCAACGGGCGTCCTGCAGTTCCACGGCGCGCCGGAACAACGCCGAGGCTACGCGGGGGCGCGGCGACGTCCAAGCTCAGGCGAGCAAGGAAATTAGACGTCAGAGGATGCGACGCACTCCGAGACTCTCGCGAGAGGTGGGACTGGGTTTTGCGGAAGTGACTTCCCGGAAGAAGCGTGGCTGCTTCTGCCATCGGGCGAGGTGCTGAGTGCTGAGCGGCTGACACCATGCAATCAGATGATGTGAGTCCCCTCTTGCTCTAACACCCTGGCGTGTACGCGGGGAATTTCGCCCAGTTTAGGACGTCTTTAGAAGCCACATACATACTCAGGCCTATTTCTTTGCCTCGTGCATGTCCAGACTCGAGACCTCCAGAACCGGATTTTGTAAGATGGGTCACACGCGTGTGCAGCCGGGCTTGCTGCCCCAAGGAGTTAAAAGACCAGGACTCTGCCACCGCAGTCCAGGGCCCGACTGGCGCAGTTCTCGGTGCCTAGCAATGAAAACCTCCCTGCCGTGCCGTCAGTGTTTTGGGGCTGGGGAGGAGGGAAGGGGATGGTGTGTATACTGAATATTTAGGAATCCCTTTGCATCTAAGCACGTGCGCCCGTTCCGTCTGCTTTTCCTATGTTAGGTATTTCTTTGCGTTTGCTCTACTCTCTGCCTAAGTCATTATTTCCGAAACAGCTTCATTCATTGAGCTGTTTGTTGGAAAAGTAGTGCTTACAATGTACCAAGTATTGTAATGACTGGGGATTTGGTTGTTAACCAGCCAAACAAACAAACAAACAAAAAATCACAGAAAACCAAAACTGCTGTCTAGGAACACGCTCAGTTAGGGGGACATACAGACCTACAACTGAGACAAGGGGCGAGCTAACAGTACTCCGGAAGATAGGGGCAGTAAAGGTACAAAGATCCGAAGACAGGAGAGAAGGAACATAAAGGACACCAGTGTACCTTGTTACAGGATTCGAGAGGGTGCCAAGATTAATTAATTGTATTTTAGAAACTGTCTTTTGTTCTTTTCATGAGAATGACATGTTATGCCTTTGTGAAAGTTCTCTGCTGGATGAGTGAAGGACTGGGGGAGGAGAGAAAAACATGAGAACAATGGTGGAGATGAAAAGAAGTGGATGAGCCTCGGATATGTTTTATCAGTGTAACTGACAAGGTTTGGTGATGGGTTAAGTGAAGAAAAGGGAGAGATCTAGGGGTTTTGGATTTAAACAAAAAGTGTGGTGTTTCATGTATTGAAATGGCAAAGACGGAATGAGTGCCATATTTATTTTTCAGAGGGGTGTGGAGTTAAGAGCTCCTTTTCTTTTCTTTGAGATAGGGTCTGGCTATATAGTTCAGGCTGGCCTTGAACTCTGCATGTAGCCCAGGTTGGCCTCAAACCCATGGCAATCTTCCTGCACCATCCTACCGAGTGCTGGGACTGCAGGTGTGCGCCGCGATGCTGGGCTAAGAGCTCCGTTATGATACCTTTTCGATATCCAAGTTGAGATGTCAAGTAGGTGGCTAAATGCATAGATAAGTCTGATGCTCAATCAAGAGATGATGATTTTGGAGTAGAAATGACATATAAAGCCACAAGCCTGAATAAGCTTCCTATTTTTCCAGTGTTGCTTCCTCTTACCTATTCCTTCTGTCTCCCACTATAAAATCCCCAGATTGTAGGTGTTTTCTTCCTTCACCCTTCTTTGTATGTTTTTTCTTGTAACTGTTTCAAACTTTTTTCCCAGTTGCTGAAAGCCTGTATGCTCACACTTTCCTGCGGACCTTTGCTACTTTGTGATACATTGTTTATACACGTCCCTCCCTAAATTGGTAAAACTCCTGAAGGACTATATTTTCTTTCAAACTATATTTAAGTGCTTACTATGTGTCAAGACTTGGAGATGTCAGTCCTTTACCTGTGTATAGTAGTGTATTTACTAAGTGTATAGTAAATGCTGAATTAGCTGGTAAAGGACAGCAATAATCTGCCTTGCTTCAGGGAGAGAAAGTGGTATGTATATTAAATATAGTCCCATGCATCTTTTAACGGTGACCAATGAACATACTGTGTAAAGAAAGTTACAAAGTAGATGTGATATGATCTCATTTTTGTTAAAAATATACACATAGGCATACTACAGTTGTTGGATGTACACATGTATAGAATTCTGGAAAATTGCAGAATACTAATGACATTTTATCGAGTAGTGAGAGTATGATTATTACTAATTTGTGTTCAGTTTTTCTGCAAGAATCTGTTACTCATGTAAAGAAAAACCAAGTCAGGCTGTCTTACAAAGTATTTCTTCCTCTCATCCCTTAAAGATTCATTTCCATAGTAAAGCAGGCACTGCCCTAGAGCACTGTCTTTTTACTTCATATGGCATGTGTTGGGCCAGAGCAACTGAAGTGGATTTTTACTTTGTCTTGCAGGTTATCTGGGATACACTGGGAAACAAGCAATTTTGTTCCTTCAAAATAAGGTGGGTCTAGATTGGCATCTTGGACTGCAATTCTTTTAGTTGCTCTCTTGCTAACCATTTTATAATCTTTGCTTCTTTATTCTTGTCCTAGAACAAAGACTCAAGGCTTTTGCAGAAATGAATATAGCCTGACTGGACTGTGTAATCGGTCATCTTGTCCCCTGGCAAATAGTCAGTATGCCACTGTCAAAGAAGAGAAAGGTAACTGCCTGATTTTAATTTCCATGAGAACTACTAAACATCCTTTAAAAAAATGTTCTTTAATCCCTCTCAGTAATACTAAGGGTATTCTACTTTATGCTTTAGGGCAGTGCTACTTGTATATGAAGGTTATAGAACGAGCAGCTTTTCCTAGGCGTCTCTGGGAACGGGTAAGATATAACCACAAAACTATGATCAAGACCAAAAGCACTGCATGTTTTTCCCTTTTCTTGCCCATCTCTAGATTAAACTTGTGAAGCATCCCCATTTGACCCCCATAAGTGGTGTCGGTGGTAACAGCCTAATCTGTCATTTACCCTAGCCCCACAAGCTTCCTTTTTTCGTCTGGTAGGTCCGGCTCAGTAAAAACTATGAGAAAGCACTGGAGCAAATTGATGAAAATCTGATTTACTGGCCCCGCTTCATTCGACACAAATGTAAGCAGAGATTCACCAAGATAACCCAGTACCTAATTCGAATTAGAAAACTTACACTAAAGCGACAGTAAGTATTTGGAGCATTTAATTTTTTACTTTTTAAATCTATCGTCTTTCCAGGGAGCAAGTTATAAAGCTGAGATTGTAAATCCTCTGATAATCCTTTCCTGTTAGATTCAACATTGTATAGTATCTCTTATGGTAGGCTAAAATGAGGAAACTTTAAAGGTGTGTCCTTTGATTTTGTATGACTTTTAAAACAGTAGAGTACACCTTGGTTATTCCCCTCCCTACCCACAGAGCTTCAGAGAATTTTATTATATCCTAGGGAATCTTAATATTAGAGATTTGAAAATAATCCCAAAAATGCAAATAAACAGGAATGTAAGAACTTTACCCTGGAGTCAGTGAAAACTAAAAAGCAATAAGAAATCCACAGAATAAATAGAATACCTGCTGAAGAAATATTAGACTGTGATGCTTTTTTCATTATGAGATGCAGAGAAAATGTTAAAGGTATCAGTCTTCTTAGCTCACTGTAGCATTAATCTTAGTATGTAGTGAATATTCATCCAAGTCTCAAGATGCTGAAAACGACCAAAACTACCTAAATAAAATACATGTTACACTGTCCGACTTTGGATAGCATTAAATGTGTAGAACTCTTGCTGTTTTGACCTCAGCCCACAGAACCACTTCCTGTCCTTTTTCTTATTTTGTAAAAGAAACACATAGCACATGAGCCTGTATTTTCTGATAATGTAATTTATTTCTTCTAGGAAGAAACTTGTTCCTTTGAGTAAGAAGGTGGAGCGTAGGGAGAAAAGAAGAGAGGTAACTTACTATTCTGATAATAGTAGCTTGTGTATTTTCCCTGAGAGGATGGTGGAGGCAGGATGAATGGGGACAATATAGTCACCATCTTCTACCTAAATTGTTACTAAATAATGATTCACTAATGGGTAACAGTATTGGTGCTTATGACATCTGATTTTTCCCATCTTATATGACTTTCACTGCAGATTACAATATGATTGATTTGGGGATTATATGTAGTGAAGGGTAAAAAGAATAGAGAGCTACAATTTATCTGAAATTTTTGTTATCTGTCTAGTTTGTCAGAATTCAAAATCTTAATGTTGCCGAATATTGTCAAAATCTTAATATTACATCACCTTCAGCAGAGTTTGAGCATTCTAACCAAGCACAGTAGTATTTCTGCAGTGAGTGTAAGGATCTTCTCATTAGATGAATTTTCCCTGTCTGTAAGGAGCCTTGTCATACTCACTTTCCTCATCTCTGAAACACAATACCTGACACCCACAGCCTAAATGAGGAGAGGTTTATTTTCACTCATAGGTGGTAGAGGTTCAGGCCATACTCACCTGGCTCCAATGAGCTGCTCATGGCGTGGCTTCCAGGAAGCAAAGAGCTCAAGAGAGGATTTGGGAGGGAAAAAACCCTTCCGGGCTACACTTCCAATAACCGTCTCTTTGGACCAGGTCCCACTTCCCAACAGCAAGCCAGCTGTAAGCCCCATAATCTGGTCACCTTGCAGAGGTCCCACCTATGCTCACAGGAGGCACAGGGGACAACATCTGGGTAGAAACCACAAGCCTCCTGTCTGGTCTGGCCATACTTGGTTTCTAAATTGCATGTTTGGATTTTGAGTTGGCTGGTAAATAACTGGAAACTGATCTGAGAGTATTTGCTTCTTTGAGGTAAACTGGGCCATTTTGTGACTGAAGGAATGAACAGGAGTAATGTTATCCAAGCTGTAGAAGATACACTAGTCAGGCATCTTCAACCTTTCGTGAGGCAGTAGTCTGCCGGCCCAACTCGATACCTCAAGCTGAGTTTTCTTAGCCTTCTAGGTGCAGAAATCAGCTTTTCTTGACAGATTAAAATTACCAGTCATTGTTGGTATTTGCGTACTTCCCTTTCACTAACGGATCTGCCTGATCATTCATCATGTTCTTTTAAGAAACAGCTTTAATGATCTTTTGATGGTTTTGTTCCCTTTACAGTTATTTCTTAAATTTGTCATGTCGTTGGTCTACACATTTTAAAAGGGCCTTTCTGTCAATAAACTTCTTGAACATGTACTCCCCAACACAAATACTATTTGTTAATATTATACATGTATACTTCCACTAACAGTGCAGTGTATATTAGAAATAAACTTGTGGTATAGAAAAAGTGTGGTTCTTAGCTGAAAGTAAATACGTCTTTGATAGATACCTTGAAGATACATACAGAAATGCATTATTTACGTCAGCTCTTGCTGTGTTTTACTTCTCTGCCAATTATGCTTAGGTTTTTTGTTCAAGTTCACCTGATGAATTTTCATACTCCCCAGTTGTCAAACAGGTGTTCTTATAAACTTTTCAGAATAACATAAAACTTTCCTAGTTTTACTTAAGTGAGCTTGGTACACTCTCAAAAATAGATTTGGGACTATACATGGTGGCACATAGCTATAATTATAGCACTCAGCAGGCTAAGGCAAGAGGATTGAGAGTTCAAGACCAACCTAGACTACATTGTAGGATCCTGTCTTTAAAAAAAATTAGATTTGGAAGATTTTTAAATGAATTGGAAAATTCTATTTACAAATTTTTAAAGTGCATGATTGCAGTTTCATAGGAAGCATGTTTTCAGCAATATTACATGTGGATAAGATCACTTTTTTTGTTGTTTGTTTGTTTTCCGGTACCGGGAATCAGGCTCATAACCTTGTGCTTGCCAGGCAGGCGCTGTGCCACTGAGCTAAATCCCCAGCCCCCAAGATCATTTTTTTCTATTACCACCCCACTCTTGGGAACCCAAGGCCTGGCACATGCTAGGCAAGTGCCTGGTGCCACATCCTAAGCCCTACTTTCCTTTTTAAATGTCCATAAAAGGCATTTTTTAACTTAATTTCTTCCTCCAACTCACCATTAAGTGTTGCTTTTGTTTTTAAGTATATTTATTTAAGTGCTAAATACACCATTAGATCACCAGCATACCTTTACAGCTACTCTGAAATACTCTTTATCCATGAATCCACTCACTCAACCAAACAGTTGACACGCTGCAGCAATCTGAATAAAGAAGTAAGGCCGCCACTTTCACTATGTTCTCTGGAAATAACCTTGTTCACTAAATGTGACAGAACTATTTGCTTTATGGATACAGTCAGGGCATTGAGGTTAGTATACATGAAAAAATTAATTTTTTAAAGGAAAAAATATATAAGTGTCTTGAATACAGTCTTCTGTCTCAGTAGATCATACTTCAGGTGTAAGCACTTGTTAGAGAATAAAGTGGACCATAACTGTAGCCTTATATGTGTAGTAATAACGGTGGTGGAGGAACTGGGATTGAAAGAGCTTCCTGCATATTTGCAAGCATTCTGCTGTTAAACTACATTGCCAGGTCCCTGTGAAAAATTCTATTTTGAGACAAAGTCTTGCAAAATTGCCCAGGCTGGTTTTAAACTTGATGTTCTCCTGCCTCAGCCTCCTGAATAGCTGGGCTTATAGCTATATAATCCCATCTCTTCAGACCAGGTCCCACTTCCTAACAGGCAGCCAGCTGTAAGCCCCATAATCTGGTCTCCTTCCAGAGGTCCCGCCTATGCTCACAGGAGGCTTAGGGGACAACATCTGGGTAGAAACATCTGGGAATGCACCACCATTCCTAGATCGAATGTAGCCTTTTAACTGAGCCATGTGGCCCTGGTCACCCAGCCTTGTGATATACACTGATTATCATTCTAACACAGATTGTATGTGTAATAATGTAAAACTCTCTTAAGACTTTCAGTATCAAATGAATGCAAAATCTTAAATCTACAGAGGTAAATTGAATTGTTTTGGGGGAGGAGGGTTGCAAGTGGTATAGATTGATGTTATTTATTGTTTCCTTGAAGACATCATTAACAAAAGAGATTTTTAATCTTTTTTTCTATTACATGAAATCTAACATGGTTTTGAAAATATACTGTAAAATGGGTGAAGGTCTCTTTTCTTTTTCCTTAGGTTTTACAAAGCTTGGCTTTAGGATTGCAAATTTTCTGGAATTTTTAAATGTAAGCGGACATATATATACGGTGTATTAAAGGGTTTGTTAGGATTTAGTTTAAAATACTATAAAACTGAGACTCTTTCAGTTGAAAGGTTCCCAACAGGATTTAGGAGGGAAGGCAAATTATGTGGTTGAAGAGGCAAAAACCTCAGTAATAGTCTGTAGTGGGACATGATGTAATCAGTCATTTCTTCTACCTCTGTGGAAGAAAATAAGCACCAGTGAAGTGAATAGTTTGTTCTTTTCTTTCACAGGAAAAGGCATTAATAGCCGCTCAGCTGGACAACGCCATTGAGAAGGAATTGCTGGAGAGACTGAAACAAGATACGGTGAGGAAGCTAGTAGCTTCGGGTTACATACAACTTTTTAAGTGGTAGTATGCCAGGAAATACTGGGAAATGTATTTTATTTTTGAAGATGCTAGAAAGATCCTCACTCTGATTTTACCCATGAAATAAAAGAAATTCAAATAGGCCTGGCTTCCTCATTTTAGTTCATCGCTGGGAGCACGTAAAATGCTTTTGTTACCCTTGACTTAGTTTATGAGACACCTTGCGTTTGCCATTGTTTCCACTTCTTTCTAAACGCAGCAGTGCCTAGTCTCTGTACGAGCCTTAGGATTTGGTCCTCCTGCATATTACAGTAGTCTTTTTAAGGTTCTTTGAAATAAATATTAAAACCTCTTTTTAAAAATCGATGTCATTTACAGACAACATGATTAAAAATGTTGTTATTGCCTCTTGTCAACAAAACTCCATTTGTTACATGCATGGGTTTATAACCTACTAAATTTTTAATGATTTGGTTCTTTCTCTGATATAGGCTGCTTGTTTGATGTTAACCACTGATTATGTAAATACCAAAAATGGCCAGCACTAGGCTTGCAAATAATATAGAAATATTCCTCATCAAGGGCTGGGGATATAGCTCAGTGGCATAAGCGCTTGCCTGGCAAGGCTGAGGTCATAAGTTCAAGTCCCAGTACCAAAAAAAAGGAATTTTGGGGGCTAGGGATTTAGCTCAGCAGCACAGCGCCTGCCTGGCAAGTGCAAGGTCGTGAGTTCTATTCCTGGTACGGAAAGAAAAAAAAAATATTCCTCATCAAATTATTTTCATCTAATCAGTGAGGAAAAATAAGATGCTTGTAGAACAGTGGAAATTGAATTGTAATGTCCATGTGCAATTAAAGCCGATCTGTTTCTTCTTCAGTATGGTGACATCTACAACTTCCCCATTCACGCCTTCGACAAGGCTCTGGAACAACAGGAGGCAGACAGTGATTCTTCAGAAGCCGAGGAGAAAGATGACGAAGATGAAGATGAAGTAATATTTTTTTTGATAAGCAGTGACCTACAGATAGACTATCTTCTTTAGCCCTCCAACCGAAGTCATTTGAGTCACCTTGCCCACCATTAGGAAATTAGTTTTAGTGTAGCAGTAGCTTCTTTGTTCTGCAGGCAAAGCCAACAAACTGTTCATAAGTTAACAGTTTTAGCCCTGCTTTAAAGATGCTTTACCTCTGATGTTTGACATCAAACATGAGCATTATTATGCCCCTAAATGTTTTTTAAGTTCAGAAGAATTAAACTTGGGAATGACTAAATTTTGATTGCTTGCCTAATATGTAGGTTTTGGTTCTGGTTATGTTATTTTGCACTTATTTATCAAAGAATTAAGCTAATGTCTCAACTGTATCTTTTATTACGTATTTTAAACCTAATTACCGGTTTATTTTAGGATGTAGGAAAAAGAGAATTTGTGGAAGATGATGACGTGGATCAGAGTGACCTAAGTGATTTTGAGGTGAGCTTTGGGTTTAAAAAAAAAGTCTTTGGCCTGTAGCAAAAGAAAATAGAGGGTTTCTGATCAGTGAAGAGAGTTTGGGAAAATCCAGTGTTTTCTCTAATTGACCTTCCCTCTATGTATTAGGATATGGATAAACTGGAGGCCAGTGATGATGAAGATCAGGATGATAAATCATCCAGTGAAGAAGAAGAACGGGCTAACACGAAACACAAAGGGAAAACACCCTTGAAAGGAGTTCTGCGCAGAAAACGAGCCTATGTGGAGATAGAGTATGAACAGGAGACAGAGCCGACGGCCAAGGCCAAAAGCACGTGACTTCTCTCCAAGAGTAATCAGGACTGAGCATTCTGAAGGTCTTTTTGTCTTACACACACCTCCAGTTTTTTGCTCTTTTGTATTATTTCACACAATATTTGTGTTTTTAATATTTATCCTACTTTTCACTGGGGAATACAGACTGAATGGGGAACCTCGGAAGTTGTGAAGAGTATGTTTATAGGGTATGTGTTGATGTGCTGAAGTGACAGCTGGACCCCAAGAAGCTTAACGGATGAATTCCTAAGGGTAGAATGAGATTGTGGGTATAAATATTTTTAGATTTTTAGCACTGAATTCCTTGGTGTTCTTCTCTTTTTCTTCCTAAACTTTATTTGGAAATGGCAGGATTTCAGTTTTTTCTTGTTCACCTTTCCCTATTTCCTAATGGGTGAAAGGAATGAGAGAAGGAAAAAAAACCTCCAACTTAAAATGTTTAATATAAAAATACCTTTTTCCATCACTCCATTCATACAATATGAGACAGAACGCAAAGCTTTCCTCTTGGAAATAATCCTAAATTCCAAGGTAGGGTGCGCGCTCCGAACCCTGCTGCACTCTCCTGATGCAGCTCACCACTGTGCTGTCTTCACAGCTTAGGGGGATTCTGGCCAGGAGACCCTGAAACATGAAACCCAACAGGCAGTGACTTTACAGAATTGTTATTTTTCCCACTTTTACCTAAATTCTTCTTTCTTAGTATTCAAAGAAGGAATAAAAGGATGAAACTAAAGGAGAGCTCATGGTCAGGACAGGTATGAAAGCCATACTATCGCTAAGTATTTTTAGGATATAAGTTTATTTTCATGCTGCACTCACTTAAAAACCCTTACATACAGTTTTAGGTTTAAAATACATAATAAGGGTTTTTCAATTAAAAACGCTTGCATACAGTAACTGACACAACTAGTACATTAAATACATCTAAATGTACACATAGGTATTATAAGCTATGGTCTTGAGAGGCTGACTTTGTGGAATGTGGAACCAGTGGAGGAATTCCCTTGCGGACAAGTAAGAAATGGAAAATCATCTACCTAAGACATGGCTGCCTCCCCCAAAGTGGAAACATTTCAGGTATCTCAGTTACTCTGAATCATTATTATTACTCTGTGGTGGCTTTGAGTTCATTCCTTTTTTTTAGTTCACAAGAACAACGTAAATGTTACAGAGTCGATAAAATGCTTTTGCTTGTTCTCTCTTCTTCAGTGATACCTGATTTTCTTCCTTTTTGCTCTAAGGCGTTCTAAATAACTTTAAAGGAAAAATAAGAGGGTCTAAGGGTATAGATCAGCAGCAAGCACAGTCTGGGGTTTGATCTTTGGCACCAAAAATATAAAGAAAGAAAGAATACGGTACTGATTAAACTACTGGAGACTAGAGAGCACAGAGGTAGGGACCTAAACCCCACCATGGTCATTTCCAGACTCGTCCAGTACATGAACAGTAAATTCTAATCCATCACAGGAATTACCTACATGGAATGAGGCCCAAGTGAAACCAGTTGCAGACTGCCTTACCTTTACCTGTCCTTGAGAGCAGTGGTCCAAGAGAATTAGGCACCCTGTCGCCTCCTGTAGCAGGGCGTTCTTAACAAGCTCGGGTGTAAGGTTCCGGTCCCTCGCCACATCACATATCAGTTTCAGGAGAGCCTTCAATAAGACCACAAGTCTGCAGGCAATTCTGGAATCAGGAAGAAAATCTATTCACTCTAAACTGTGATGTTCCAACTTGAAGAGACTTCAAAGGCTGCTGGAAAGCTGTCATTTAATAAGGGAGGGAACTAAAGTCAGAGCTAAACAACGTGAAAGGCCTGGTTCTGGAAACAACCGGAGACCAGCACCCAGACTTTAACCTCAAGTCTCCTGTTACTTCTACCACATACTGCTTGCATAGATACACACACATCGCTCTGGCTTGTTCAAGAACACGTTGACTCCTGCCAGAAGCTTGGTTCTGTTCCAAAGAAACAAACCCTTTTAGGGCTACAAAGGGGGAAACAAGATCTGTTCTTAAGAAGATCCTATACTTTTGCCTAGAGAAAGAACCTGGCCCACAGTTAACTTTAGACATCTTTGGCCTAGAAGTTAATACTAAGGGAAATAAGCTTGGCTCCCAGGGCTTAGCATCAGTTTGAATTTTCAATAATAGAGGGGTGATAGTTATATAACACTTTAATAATACTTAATGCCACCGAACTGCACACTTTAAAATGGTAAATTTTTTGTATTTTTTTTAACCACAATAAAACTACATTTTTGTGAAAGCTGGAAAATAATTCAACTTGCAATGTGAAAATATGCATAATAAACTTTCTGCACAGAAATGGACTGGGAGAGAAGTCTGAATCCCTTCATCTAAAAACCATTCAGGGGGCTGGGGATTTGGCTCAGAGGCAAAGCGCCTGCCTGGCAAGTGCAAGGTTGTGAATTCGGTTCCCAGTACCGGAGAAAAACCAAAACCAAAAAAAAAAACAAACCCATTCAGCCTTTTGCTATAGTTTGTGTGCCTCTCCAACCTCTGTCATCATTCAGCACATTCTGTTAGCCACTCCACACTCTGCTTCTTCACACATAGAGCTAGTTTTAAACCTCCCGACATTTGGAATGTTGGCATAGAATTAATTTGCTTCAATTTCATTTTGTTCTAGTCCATTCTTTTAATACTTGCGCACCTAATTCCAGGTAGTTAATATACTTTGGGAATACATAATAGATAGTCTTCCATAAACTACAGTTTACTGCAGGTTAGTGGAAGAGAAAGACCGTAAACAGATGAGATCTAGTTACAAATGTGACTAGGGAAGATTCTCATGAGGGAAAAGTTACTCTGGGTTCCTTGTACATTTGTGAGAGACAGAATGGTATAGAACAGGTACTGTATGTTGTTGGGGCACTAGATTCTCTGGCTGAATTAAACTTTCAGTTAATACATGGAAGAAAGCCTGCTGCTGACTCAGTGTTTGGGATCTAGTTTGTTTCTGGCACCTTCCATGGGCCACAGATGGAATGTCTTCTAAGCAGGCATATCCTAAATTAGTATTTAGATCACTGCTCTGCAAATGTTAAATAATACGCTATCCAGTTCTCCCATTTAAGGAACTTTAAGAAGAACGAGAAGCATGTCTAATGCCGTACTTCTTATTGCACTCTCATTTTTATGAGTTACAAATCTGGTGACATACATAATCTGTAAGGTTTCCCAAATTACTTGACCAAGAATGTTTTTTCTTCCAGTGGGATATCAAAAATTACCTGGGTAGGGCGAGGCCTGTTAATACAAACTTACATATAATCCCAGCAGTTTAAGGCTGAGGCGGGAGGACTGCCAAATTTGAGCCCAGCCTAAGCCACTAAGACCTTGCCTCAAAGAGCTGATGCAGCTCTATGTAAAGGTGTTGGGTTCAATCTCCAGTACTGAAAAAAGTACCTTGGTGGATATTCTTGAGAACACTAAGTCATTTGGGATATATCTGAATTTAGAAGAAAAGTGATTTAATTGTAACTCTAAATATATTTTAGCTTTCTACTGCCACTTTCTCAGTTTGAAATCCCATAGGTGTGTGAAAATAGAATGTAGTCAGATATATCACATGCCCTTACTACTCTACATTGAATGTCCCCCTGGGCAAGTTCTGAAGAGAAAACTGCCTGAGATTTCTCCCTCTTCAGCACACCTGTCTGGATTCTGTAACTGTGCTACCTGGGCCAAGTGTACTGCATGAGAAGTTTTAGGGTTTCCAGTATCTTCAGCCGCGCCTCCTCCTCTGGTCCATCGTACACCTCCAGGTAACCGATGATGACTCTCTCTAACCGCTTCAAGTGCCGGACACTTAGGATCCCCAACCTAAAAACAAGGGAAAACGTGACACCAAAGAGTGGACGTTGGGGTGAATGGCAGGCCAGCAGCCCGAGCACCCACCTTCCCACAAAGGCTGGTAGGTTCCTTGCATAGGTCCTACGCAAGAGCAGGCGGTGCTCTGGTTCCATGTGCGTCAGGATTAGCTGCAGCACCTCATCACAGTGTGTGGTTGGTCGAGCTGTGTCGCCCTTCCAGTGCTGGGCTTTCTCCAGGACGGGGAACAAATCCAGCAGACATAGGAGCACGGCCTAGGAGGAGGGAATGGAAAGAAGATGTATAGTTCATCCACTTGCATTCACAACACTCCTGATATTTTAAAAAAGTGTCATAAGTCTACTGTCCTTAAGGTACATGTCATAAAACTGTAAGACACCAGCAGTTGATATATTAACCCTTCCATGCCTAGTGATCCATTTGTGGAATACCCACAACAGCAGAACATAATGAAGTGTTTTCAAGTTCTTGTTCCTTGGATTTTTCTTGGTAACACTTGAACTTCATGCAAAAATTCAAAAAATGTCAATCTTAGGCATAAATGGGTGAAGTGTATATTCAAGTTTTTACACTCAGTTCATATTACCTCTCTCTGACAGTTTCAAATTACTATTTTGTCCTCAAGACAATTCGTTACTAATTTGTAAACTAGAAAGAATGACAGAATGGGGACTTTAACTCAGATTTTAGGATTCTATACCTGTCACTAAGTCACAAGTCTAAATGACTTAGTGATATACAGAATTTACATATACTTTTAATAAAAACATTTCTACATATAATCTAAAATGGTCTAAATTTACATCAAATTTGACCACTCTATCTGAAGTTTTCAGGGTCAATCCCCCCCAACACAAAAGATGTCTCTACCTCTAATTTTATGTAACTTGTTTTTTCTGTCTCCAGAATATTTGCCCTCCAAAGAAATTCCCATTCAACCTTCCTAAGCAAACATCCTCCATAAGGCTTCCTTTCAAAGCCTCCTAAAACCACCTCCAATACCATCTTCCTCCTGGTTAGTCACCTATTACTGAACACCCACGACACTTCACACACACCTCTTCTAACAGTTACCACGGTATGGTATTTAGATACAGATATTTGTATACATAATCATACATTTCAAAAAATGTCCTTCCAAAGGGTTTCTTAAAGCCAGAACCTCTGTCCAATTCACTTCTCTTGGAGCCTAGAGTTACAAGCACATAGTAATAGCAGTTAATGTCTGCTGAATAAAAACAATAAATGGCACTAAAATATCTACATGCAAAGAGTTTCAAATACAAGTGTTGATGTGGATAAGTACAAAACATTTTAATTAATGAAAATAGAGTATTTTCAGATATAAAGCCAAGTGATATATAACTGACCCACATGAAGACAAAACTGGCTTTTCTGTGAAGAGTCAGGAATCCAAATGCCTGCTTGGTGACTTGGCAACACCTTTTAGTTATCATCCTCAACTTCCAAGAAAAGAAAATGTCTCTCAACTACTTATATAATGCCATTTTCTACTCAGATTTAGAGAACCCAGATAGTTAGGAATAAATCTTACAATTACCTCGATGAGGTGGTGCTCTGGCAGGTACAGATGGTTGAAAATGGCATGATAGAGGACTTGGGCTCTGTTATACTGCAGCAAATCAGCAACCGGCTGCAATCAGATAAATTATCCAGTTAAAAGCAAGCTTTCCCCACATTGGCAAAATCTTGGTAATTTTTGAAAATAAATTACAGACAACATGGAAATTTATTAAACCACTCCATTTCTGTGTATATTTATGTATATACATTTTTTGTTGTTTTGAGATAAGGTCTTGCTGTGTAGTTCAGGCTGGCCTTGAACTTACTATGTAGCCCAGGCTGGCCTCAAACTCACCACAAACTTCCTGTGTCAGCCTCCTAAGTGCTGGGATTACTGGCATGCACCACCATGCCCAGTTTATTTCTGTGTATATTTTGAAAGCTCCATAATACAAAATTTTTTTAAAAGTTGGAGTAATAGCTTACACATTTTGTACAGTCCCTTTCAGTTCTTACTTGGTTTTTGCTTTTTGAAAGTCAACTGTTAATCACTCAAGGTCTAGTTATTCAGTTTGGTAATGACTGGTGCTTTCCTATTTCTTCTATAATTATCTTGATTTGTTGTTTGGGAGGATTATTTGTTTGCTGGTGCTGGGGATGGAACCCAGGACCTTGAGCATGCTAAGCACACACTCCACCACTGAGCTACACCCCAAGCCACATAATTATCCTTTTAGTTATATTTCAACATATGGATTCCACCAGGTTGGCAGAGGGAAAGTTTAAGGAGAAATATATATAAGTAAGTCAATGTAATGACTTAACAATGTTAAAAGAAAGCAAGTTAATAGCCAACAATGAGTCAGTCTGTCCCATAAATTCAGGTGACAGCAGAGATCGCTTACCACATTAAGCACAATGTGATGTAGGCAGCGTACACCTAGGATTTTGTTCTCAGTCTGATAATCATCTGAAATGAGCAAGGATGGGGGAAGTATCCTTTCTAGGTGTTGGCTTAGCCAGGGCCGAGTGACCTGCCGCAGAGTCCATGAGAAAACGTGTTTGACAGCAGGGTTATTCTTCCAAGATTCCCTAAATGGATACATGAAATCACACTAAGTACAGCCGCAGGATATTAACTAGCAAAGAAAATTAACCAGGTCAGCCTGGTGTGGTGGCCCATCCTGTAATCCTAGCTACTCAAGAAGTGGAGGCAGGAGGATCAAGAGTTCCAGGTCAGGCTGAGCAAATTAGTGAGATACTGTCTCAAAAATAAAAAAGGACAGGGGACTGGATATGGTGGTGCACACTTGTAATCGCCACACTATGGGAAGTGCGGTAGGAAGGTCGCAAATTCAAGCCCAGCCAGGGCAACTTAGCAATTTAGACCCTGTCTCGTAATAAAGTAGATTATATAAATAAATAGGGCTGGAGATTTAGTTCACTATGATGGCTCTAGGTTCCATCGCTAGTATCACAAAACTAAAAAAAAAAAAAAGCAGGGAGGGCTGTTGATATAACTCACCCCTGAAAGGACTGCCTACTATGCACAAATCCCTGGGTTCAATCTCCAGTACCCTCCACGAGCCTAGCAACTCGTGATTTTACAACATATGGTTGTACATTTTATGATGTGCATTAAAACAATTTACGTAACTTACACAGGGAAGATGTGCTGAAATGGGAGAGGGGTAAGGGAAATGTCTAACATTATTATAAAGGAAGAAATGAATCAATAGACAGCTTATAAATGACTCAACTAACCCTCAAAATAATAACTGTAGGGGCTGGGGATTTAGCTCAGCGGCAAAAGCGCCTGCCTGGCAAGCACAAGGTCGTGAGTTCGATTCCCGGTACCGGAGAAAAACCAAAACAAACAAACAAACAAAAAACTAATAGGCATGTTATCTTTATATTGAAAGTAATGAAACTGATTCACAGAGCCTATAACCTTGTCCTAGTCAGCAATTCGAAGCAGCACTGGTCTAAAATTCAAGCCTTTTAAATCCAAATTCCTGAGAAAATGAGTTAGTTCTCGTTAGCAACTGGAAACTCACAAAAAGTATTTTAGCAAACAGTAATCTGAAAGGTTTTTACTTTTTCATTTCAAATACTGCTTCCCTAACAACTGTTCCTAACAACAAGCCATGAATTTACAAATATCTAAGTTTAAATTGAAACCGTAAGTTTAAGTCCTCTTTAAACACCAATCTTCACCTAACAAGATACTTAATTCTACACAGACAATTTCCAATTTTCCTGATCAGTTGTCAGAATTTCCAACTTTCAAAGGTCAGTGCTGGAGAGAAAGTGGGTTCTGACCTCACCTTTACTACTGTCTAGTTTGTTCATTTTGAGCAAATCACAAAGTCTCTAGACCTGAAAAGATCTATTACAACACCCTTCTTTTCCCGATGAAGACATTCAAATTCTTTTGAGCTCCAAAACTTTAGACCGAAGCTCAAGCCAGGGGCAAAGGGCAAGCGTACTCACTTGTTCAAACTGGGCTTGAGAAGACCCAAGATCACAGTAAATCTGCCTTTCTCCTCTTCGTTCTCTCCGCGCAGGAATCCTGCCACAGACCCGCAGTCCGTAACGTGAAGCAACAAGGCCAGCACCTCTCCTGCCACCGCCCGAGATCCTGGGCTGCTCCAGGATCGCTCTAAGCTGTGTGTGATGGCAAAAACATAGATCGGTCCTGCCAAGTGACGCAGGCCTGTCTTCCACTCAGGGCAGACCTCACTCGGGGACTTCTTGGCAGCCTCGACTTTCCTCAAGAGCTTAAGAAACAGTAGTGCAACTTCTGCTGCTTTCTCGGCCACCCCGGAGTAACCGTTGTCTCCGCCTCCCTCCTCCTGGGGTGGGGCCGCGTACTTCTCCAGGGCCTTTGCCACCTCTCCCAGCGTCTCAGGCATTTTGTGGTGCGGTTCATCACTCCTCTCAAATAATCTGGCACACTCTGTGGCTTCTAGTAGAGCACTGAGGTCTTTCAACGCCGCATCTCTCGTGCTGCGCCGTCGCGCCTCCGGGCCGGTAAGACGGAGCAAGACCTCGGAGAAGGCGCGCGCGAGCGCAGAGCGGGACCCCGCTCCCGGCGAGGGGGCGCCTGCCCGCCCCGTCTCCTCCGCGCTGTCAGGCTCCATTCCTCCGGCCGCGGCACTCAGGAGCCCGGCAGCCTCCCCGGCGCCCAGGGCACCAAGACGGGTGCGAGGCGGGACCCGACAAAGACCAGCGGAGATGACTCCGAGGCGGCACTTCTCCCGGAGAACAGGAGTAACGACAAATGAAAGGGCGAGGCCGCCTGGGATAGGAAAGTGTGTGTAAGGGAAAGAGGTCTTTCTGGTACTTTCCAACGGGATGCAGTGGAGAAAGTACTCTTTCTGGAGGCGCAAAATAAATATTTTTAAAAACGAGTTTAAGAAATAAGCTGCTGGGTCATGACACGGATACGGCTACCGGTACCTGCAGCCTTTCCGCGCTACATCTGTGTCCTCCAGCAGCCGGCCCCAGCTGACATCATTGCCGCAAAGCACAAAACTCACTTCCGCCAATACCGCCGTAACGCTTCATTTCACGACATATGGTCGTAAAACTATAAAATCCTGGTTGAGAAAAAAATGCAGAAAAGGTGGAGCTAGGGTGAATATATTTGCATAGATAAGCATCCACTTGCTAATTTTGTTTGATTTTTCTTTTTAAAGCTAAAAGCAAAAGAATGCGCACAGGATATCAGCGCTAATTTTTAGATGCACATAATTTTATATCCAAAGACTGAATATTTCCGCAGTACGATGGTCACCCTTTCTGTGAAATTGGTGGCAGGTATTTGGATATGAAGAATGGCGCTACTTCACTGATCCTTCGGTTCATGAGCATGATGATTGGGCGTTCATGCCATCTGCATGAGATGTGCCTCCCTCAAACCTTGTTACGACGTTGGCACATTACCCATCTGACGTGAACTTGGAGGATCCGTCAGCTATTTTTTTTTTTTTATTCAAATATTTTGGAGATTCAGATTTAAGTAACAGGTGCAAGTGCTACTTTCTGAGCCACTTAACCAGGAGTCCTGGAGGTCCCCAATGCTGTGAGACAAGTCCCTCGGCGGTGAGAAGCAGGGGTGCTCTGTTAACTGCACGCGTGCTCTGTGTAGGGCCCCCTGTTCCCCACGCCCGTGACCTTGAGCTCTGTTCTTGGGTTTATTTATTGGAAAAATAAAATACGGCTAGCGGTAGGCCCTACTTCTTAGGGTTGTAATGAGATGCACAGGATTTAAACATATGTAAACTGTTAGAAGGATGAGTCGAGCAAAGTTCTGCAAAGGTGTTTGCACTCGTGCTGGACCGCGGCTCCTGGGTGAAGTCACGTTGCCTGTTCCCAGGGTTGCTCTGTGGGCAGATCGCCCCGTCTCGGCCTCTCTCATCGGGCCTTCCCTTCTTTGACCAATTGGTGGCACTCAAGATTTTCTGGGCAATTCCGTCTCCCGATACTTTCCCATAAAAGACCCAAGCAAGCAAAATGCCATCACCAGGCAGTTACTGTCGCCTTTCTGTGTGTGAGCATTTCTTCCTTGGTCCCCTGCCCCGTGGGGATCCAAGTGGATCCAAGCTCGCACTTGGGAGTGAGGAAAATACTTGTTCTCAAGCCAGCGACCATATCTTTCTCCCCTGGCACAATTTAGTCACGCAACAAATGTTTATTGAACCCACGTGTCCATCCCCAGGGACCTGGCTGCATAAACCTCTGCATCCACACAATACAACTCTGCCCAACCATGTAGGGCAGGGAGGCCCACCTCTGCGGATGCTGAACTCCAGGATGTACTAAGTGAAAAGAGCAGGCCGGTGGGTGTGTACACTTTGCCCTTCTTGCAAGAAACCTGGGCAAACAGGACAATGGTGTGTGCATTTCCTTACATAATAGAGAAGAAGCAATGATGTGTGAACTACATACTAATAAAAAGGTACATATAAGAGCAGAGTGAAGCAAATAGGAATAAAAGCTGAACTTCTCTGTGTATACTGCAATTTATAGTTTTGAGTTTGGAATCATCTCAGTGTTTTACTTTTTTTTTTCTGTACTGGGGATTAAACTCACGTATAATTATTTTTACAAACAAAATAACAAAATACATGCAAATCAGTGAAACAGACTAGAGGATGCAAAAACAACCTCAGACACATCCAGTTATCTGATCTTTGACAAATGGGCCAAAAATACATCCTGGAGGAAACACAGGTTCTTTAACAAATGGTACCGGGAAAACGAGCTATCCACATGCAGAAAATTGAGTCTAGACCCATATCTCTCACCATTTACTAAACGAAAATCACAACAGATCAAAGACACAAATATTAAAACAAAGACAATCATTTTTTTTCAGAAACAATTTGTTGGAAAATAGGTGAAATTCTTGAAGACAAAGGCATAGGTAAGAATTCTGAACAGAACCCCAGTTCGCACAAAAAATAACATTAACAATCAACAAATGGCATTACAGTATATCAAATTAAAAAGTTTCTGCACAGGAAAGAAAATAACTGACAGAGTGAGAAAAAGCTTACAGAATGGGAAAAAATTTTGTTAGCTACTACTTGGTGAGAGCACTAATACCTAGACTATATAAAGAGCTCAAAAAACATACTCTGAATAACTACTATGGAGTTTACAAGGCACAATATATTAATTACTGTTACTATCCTATTAGTCTGATTTGAAACTGTTTTATTTTATTTCTATTTTTCTTCCCTTTAAAATAAAAAAAGAAAGAAATGGGCTTTGAGGCTCACTAATTTGACTATCTGTCCCTAGTGTGACATATCCTAAGGACAAAAGAGAATGACAAAGAAATAAACTACACTTAGTAGTATTGTGGTATTATTATGTATATGTATATAAAATGGAAAATAAATAAAAATCTAGGATTAGTACCCAAAGTTTCAGTTAAAGATAATTATCAAATAAGTGAAATTAGTATAAGTTATGGAATCTGAAATTTGAATGGGCAATGTGAGTATGAATCCATGATTAATTTTTCTCAACCTACAAAATACATATATGGTACTTACATCCACTAAAAAGGCCAAGAAGCAAGGAGTTATGAGCATCCTTAGTGTCCCAATTCATGTGGAAATGCCCTTTCTCACTAACAGGGGCTAGTTGTCTTTTGCTTAGTGTTATGGTTTGTATCTGGATGTCCCCTCAAATCCTCATGCAGTCATGGGGTGGGCTTCTGGATTTTTGATTGATCCATAGTCCATTGCCAGGATTACGGATGTGAGTGCTATACTCGCCCTGGGGTGGGTAGTTTGCACGCAGTGTAAGGGAGGGAAAGAGGCTGCTTGCCGCTGCTTTTTGTTTTTGTTTTTGTTGCTTTTGCTATTTTCTGCCGCCATGAACTGTTGCCTTCTGCCATGTGCCACTCTGCCTTGGAGCCAGCCGAGTATGACTGAAACTTCCATGAACTGTAAGTTAAATAAACCTTTCCTTCCTTAATTTTGGGTGTCAGGTATTTTGTCTCAGCAATGAGAGAAACATAACCAAGACACTTAGGGAATGCCTAATTTTGGCAATGAAATAGGAATCACACACGATGATCCTGGCATTTTTTTGTGCCAGAAAGCAAGATAACTGCCAAAAGAACCCAAGAATCAATACGAAATTGTACACTTTGGCCAAAGATGGAACAATCTGAGCAGGAAATGAATACTATGAATTACACACATCAAATATAGACAAATCAGTGGATTCGTGGTGATACTAAAAACAAAATACCTTATCATTCATCTTGTGATCACCTAAGCAACTAATTATATTTTGAAAATTGGTAAATAAAAGGAAGAGATTAAACATTTAGTCTTGCTAAATATTTCAGGGTACCTAATAGTTTGTAAGGGCCATTGGGGAATTACAAAGTCACTGTTTACTCCTCCCTTTGAGGCAATGGGATGTGGCAACAAACACCAATGGCTATTCAAGTTACAAGGTGAAAGGTTGGTAGGAACTTTATAGTGTCTAGATTGTACTAAGAAAATCCAAACCCACTGATGTACATTAACATTAATGGCAGTGAGTCAACCAGCCAATGCATGTCTCCTGAGGTGATAGGATAGGAAGTACATACTCCCCATGGACTCTCCTGGCATACAACTTGACTCTAAAGATAATCAAATTGCCACCAAATTTACTACCAGGTGATAAGAAATGTGGAGGAGAACAAGCAGAAGACACCAAGATAGTACAGCATATCAATCTCACTAAGAGTATGGAAAATCCCACGAATTACCTAGTTTCTTTGATAAGTAATTATCATGATAAAATGTAGTGGAGTGAGAAATGATACAGATACTGTTTTTATTTGTTTGTTTGTTTTTTATTTTTAGATAAGATTTCACTATATAGCACAGGCCAGCCTTGAACTTTTATATGTAGCCCAGGCTGACCTCAAACTCGCCATCCTCCTGTCTCAGCCTTTTGAGTACTGGGATTATAGGCATGTGCCACAATGCCAGGCTTAGATTTTAAATTTTTAAATACATCTCAGCTGGGTGCCAGGCATGGTGGCATACTCCTGTACTCGAAGCACTTGGGAAACTGAGGCAGGAGGATCACAAGTTCAAAGCCAGCCTTGGCTACAAAGTGAAACCCTGCCTCAAAAATAAATCAAATCAAATCAAATAAGTCTTAGGTGGGGCTGAAGCTCAGTGATAGTACACTTAGCTAACATACATGAAGCCCTGGGTTTAATCCCTAGCATTGCAAAAAATAAAAACAGATAAGATATAGCTTAATCAAATGCAATACTGGATCTTATTTTCAATACACAAAGTTCTAAAAAGTGTACTTTGAATAATTGGGGAAATTTGAACAAAGATCTGTTACAAGGATATTCATGTAATTTGTCATTTAAATAAAACATGCTGAGAGTTTTATTTTGACAGTTTCTCAGAAAGTTAAACATCATTAACAGTGTTGAATATATGAATCAAGGCATATAGCCGAGAAAACTAAAAATTTGTGCTCAAACAAAAACTCAGGTACAGATGTTTATAGCTGTATTATTCTTAATAGCTAGTGAAACAACCTGAAATCCATCAGCTGACAAGTGGATGAGTACTGTAGTTTGGATGCTGAATGTCCCCCATGTGTATACAACTGTTACGAGGGGGTTTTGTGTTAGTCATTTTTGTATTTGTTTTAAACCTTGAGATTATCAGTTTATAACGAGGAAAGGTTTATTTTGGCTCATGGTTTTGGAGGCATCAGTCCATAATCATTTGGCTCCATGACCTTGAGGCCTTCGGTGAGGCAGCACATCATAGGGGGACCACACGGCAAAAGAACCTGCTCACCTTGTAACAGCCAGGAAGCAGAAAGAGAGAAGGGGACTGCTGTTCCAATATTCCCTTTGAGGACACACACCTAATGGTCTAACTTCCTCCCACTTGGCCCTACTTCCCAGTAACTCCACTGGCTGGGAACCAAGCCTTCATAAGTGGGCCTTTGAAGAACATTTCATATCTAAACTGT